GCAGATCTTACAGGGGCTGAGTTTTTAGGCCAGGCCCCACAGGTAGGCCTTTGTGAAGATAGGGAAAGAAGAACAAGGCTGATATGGAGGAAGGGGCCAGAGTAGACCAAAGAAGAGTTTCCTGGTATGAGGGTTCCAGGTCTTAAACAGGGGCCCCAGGTACCATGAGGGCATTGTTACTGGACAATGGTGGGTCTAGAATGACTCCTCCTAGCAAGTGTCTTGAGCAGTGTTTTGCAGCCTAGCTGGGAGGACAAGGGCAAAGGTCAGTTAATGCTTAGAAGAGAAATTCCCAACAGATGAAGAACTCTTCAAAGATGAATTTTGAGAGGGCTGTTATGTAAATGAGGAGCAAGTAGGAGCCATGTTGTCATGTCAACGAGTAGACAACTGTTGGCATCTTATGTGAGTGAGTACTTGTCTAGGAAGGAGCAGAGACAAGAACACAGAGGCCTCTGTTGTGGGCCTGTCATGAAGGTCTCCTTTGCATTATCGTGGCTGTCACACACACACACCCCCCAAACACACACACACACATTCTGTCTTTGGCTCCCCTTGATATCTTTCCTCCTCTTTGCGTAGAGTGAATAGAGAGCTCTGGAGAAGGTGGAGTCTGAAACAAAGAGGCCATTAAACTATCCAGATTTGTCTGGCCAGAGGGAACATCTTTTTCTCACTCCTGACCCAGAAGGAGCACCTTTTTATAATCTGAACAAAGTACAGGCTAACAGCCCTGTTATGTGCAAATGGCCAGCCCCAGTCCGTTTTTTAAGCTGACTTCCCAGGGTAGTAGACCGTAGAAGGGAAGTAAGGAGACCAATCATAGCTTGTCTCATCTGGAAGTCTTCTTGATCTGGGGCTTCCCACCTCAGCCTGGAACTTAGGCTGTTGAGAATGTGTAGACAGAGCCTCTGGGGGCTTTCTCTAAGGATGCTGGGTCTGAGGCGGGGCCAGGAAGGAGAGGAAGAACAGGGTATTCCTTCTCTCTGCCACAGGCCTGCACCTGGAACTCAGTTCTAAAGTTTATCTCTTGATCACACAGCCAGCCCTGAGCTGGTCTCAAGACACCAGCCTTCAGCCAAGAATCCACCTAGTTTTTTAGAACAACTTTGAATATGATGGGCGCCAGTCCCTCCTTTAAAAAGCCATCAAGTTGCCGAAGTTGGCAGTTACCCAGTTGGACCTCACCAGGGCCTGATCACTCAGCCATCTTAACCACTGAATCAAGTTAGGATGGGCCCCGGCTTCCGAGCTCAGGCTTGTAAAGGGCTATGGAGCAGCTTTGTTCATTTAGCCAGATTTAGTGAGCACTTACTCTGTGCCAGGCACTGCTGGTTACTTGGGCACAGTACTGAACTGGTCATGTGTGGCCTCTGCCTTCAACAGACTCCCACTCAGATGGAGAGACAGGCAATAAAACAAGCAATTACCCCACTGAGTAACAGTGCTGTGGCATACAGAAGCCACTCATTTTTGAAAGAGTAAAATGAATGAAAGATCAAATGAATGAACAATGGAGTGTTGTGCCATCCTGACCTGGGAGGTTAGAGAAGGCTTTCTAGAGGAGGTGGTATGTAACCTGGAGGATGTAGAAATTTAGCCATATGAAATGAAGTAATGGGGAAGAGTGGCAGGGGAAATGGCAGAGGAAATGGCATGTGCAAATGGCCTGGGGTTGGGAGAGCGAGATGTGGTGACAGGACCAAGAAAATTCTAACCGATCGGCTTAGGTTATGGGGGCCACAGTGGGGGTATTTGGAAGAGATGAGGCCTGTGAAATACTCCAGGTTGTGTTGTAAATTATATTGTCATCCATGTCGAAGAATTTATATTCATCCAAAGAAATGGGACTTTTAAACAAACAGGAGATGTTGGTATTTTCAGGCACCAGGGTCAACCCAATGAGAACATTGCAGACGACCTTTATCTCTGTTTTCTGGAAAGGATAGAAAAGCATGATGCTTGATATAGTTCTCAGTTCTAATTACACAAGTTACATGTGGTTATGGTCATGGTCAGGTGGAGACGTGCTGAAAGTGTGTCTGTGATCTCAGGGTGTAGGGATGAGAAGGTGAACAGGGCAGAGTTCCCTTCTGTATCCACTAGCCTAGAGGGGGCTCACACTCAGGAAATCCTTGCCCATGGGGCCCATGATGCACCAGGACAGATGCTTTGAAATTGGTAGTCAGGGCTGGGAACAAGGACTTGGGGAGAGGAAGGCCAGCCTGGATGCCCCCAGGTATCGAGTCAGTTATAATGGATAGATAAGGGAAGCCGTCATACTCACAGGCCCCTTCATTAGAGATCTTCCAGCCTGGCCCCCTCCAAAAGGGCTTGCCTGATTCACTGGCCACCAAACATTCACCATCTCTGAGGCAAAGATTATCTGTACCCATCCTTGGACCAAGGCCCAGTCCGAGAGCCCATCAGACCACATGATGCTTTCTCATTCCTGATGGAGGTGGTAGAAATACACATGTTGCCATTGAACGCCCAGAGGGGGGCAAGATACAGCATCCGTACTGCAGATGGGAAGACAAAAAGGAGGAGCTGAATGGGAACAGGGCCTTTACATTGTTTTTAAAAGAAGTCTCACTTAACAAAACTCCAGTTGAGCAATATTCTTTTGAGGTCCCTTGTCCCAAAGCAAAGCTCGCCAGGTCACCAGGCAGATAAAGCAGTAGCTGTGCTGGGTAGAACTTGGTAAAGCTGGACCATCACCTTGTCTGTGTGCAAAGCCTCATGGGAGAATGCACAAAGGAAGTTCCGCCTCCCCCGTCCAGAAGCTGACATCCTGAGCTGCCAGAGTTTGCTGTTACCCTCACAGCCCTGGTGTCTCTGTGTCTCACCCTCATGACCAATTGCTGAGAAGGCAGACATGGTTCTCTAAGAAAGCCCCAAAGTCCCACTCCTTTAGGCCCAAGGTACAAGGAATGAGGGGTGGGAGGGAAGCAGACTCTTGATGGTGAGGCCTTGCTAATATGCATGGGGCCCAGGGCAAGAGTAGAGAAGGAGTCCCACACACTCTACATCTCAATGTTTATAAATCAAGCCAGCAAACATAAACATAATATGTTCTCCTGTCTTGGCAAACATACCTTGAAAATGGATCTGGAAAGTCAGGTTTGATTTTAGAATCTCACACCCCTCGGAGTGGCCGGCCACAACATGGCAGTGTGGTGGGGGGGCGGGGGTTGGGGACCCTGCCTCAAGGCCCTGGCCCCTCCCTTTCTCCTCCTACAGCTTGCACCAACCAACACCATGGGCCTTCCACACGTGCACATGGACACCTCAGCCTGGACATCAAAGCTCTGTCCAAATGGCCACCCTTGGACCTGAGAGCGTGCACATCTGAAGCATGGTGTGTCCCCAGTAGAAGAGATCCACGGATGAGCCTGCAGAGACCCTGGAAGGGGGCTCAGAGGCCATTTAAACAGAGAATTCTGGGATCTCAGAGACCCATAAGGTGCTCTCAGGGAAAGTAGTTTCCAGGTAGTGTCCTCCCGGCCCCACAGATTTCTTGCTGCCTGAGGATGGTTATCACCTGAGGAGGCCCAGGGCAGGAGTCCCTCTTGCCCACAGCTAAATAAGCATGGTACTGTTGGCAGGGACCACGGCATCATCACAGCTGTGACACTGGTCTGAACGTTTAAAGAAAACCATGCACTGTGCTTCTGAATACACCACTGCCTTCCCAAGAGCTGGCTCAACCTCCGTTCCTCCTTCATCTGTCCCAGATCAGACCCACACAGGACTCTGGGAAGACCTCCCCATTCCCACTCACCCCAAGACCAAATGTCCAAGCCCCTCCCAACGCCCTTTGTCCCAAGCACATCCTCGAGATCTTGACACCTCCACAGAGGCAAGCTCTAGCCCCCACTGCATTTTCAGCAAGAGTTTCTTGATCCAACTTGGGCACCAAGGGACTGACGAGGTTAGTGTTGATGGCTTGAGGTCCCCTTGCTGAGAAAACCAAACAGAACTGATGCCTCACCTAGTAGGAACACTGAAAAACCAAAACTCAAAGCTCAGGGCCAAGTGTGAGGGTGTGCAGAAAGGTGTGTGTTTTTTCTTGTCATTTTCGACTCTAATGATGGACTCACGTTGCCCGCTCTTCCCTTTCTCTTACACCTTACCTACCTACTAAAGGAGGAGCTCTTGCTTGGTAAGTGGATATAATCCGCAAAGACATGAGAGAATTTATTAGAAGCCACTCGAGAGCCTTAGCTACCTTCTCCAGGGGGAAAAGGACACACACAAATATCCGTAGAGAGCTTTTTTTTCGTTTGTTTTCAGTCAGACTATTTGACTTCCATTTTTTTTGCCCCCCTTTCTTTTCCCCTTTAGTTGAAAACTACTAAAATGTCATTTTGTGACCTTGACTTTATATTTAAAAAAAAAAAACTCTCTTTATTTCATTTCTTTTCCCCATGCGATATTTGTTTAGGGTTCTATTCAGGGAACTTTTTCTTTAAAAAAAAAAAAGTCAAATTCGTAGAGGATTTGGTTGAAGTTTAAAATTTTGGCTTTATCTCTCTTTTTTTTTAAGTTAAAAGATATATGTTTTTCATGCCCATTGTCCCATTTCTTTTCCCCTTCCCCTTCCTTCATTTTTATTATTGTTTTAGGTGAAGGGTGTGACACACACCCCTTTCGATTGAGTTGTCTCTTTTGTTTGAGTTAATTCATTAGAAATTAAATTTTGTATAATTTCCTTTTTCTTTGGTTTAATCTGGATCGCATGCTTTTTCTCTGCATGATACTTAAATCTTCCAGTTATTCTAACAGGGGGTAAAAAAATATCTCCTTTCTGTGGAATTCTTTCAGGAATTTGTGCTTTTGGTTTTTTTGGCGTCTCTCTTTCCTCTTCTCTCTCTCTCTCTCTCTCTCTCTCTTTCCTTTCGTTACAGTGCATCATGACGGTAAACATTTCTTGGTTATTTAGACACAGTGCACAGGCCCAGCGATCAGCAGTGTCCAACGGGTGTTTTTGCTTTCAGATCACTGGGTCGGGGTCTGCAGCTGACCTCTTTACCAAAACAGCCAGCCCGCTCACCACCTCCCGAGGACGCTCCCAGGAGTATGACTCAGGCAATGACACCTCTTCACCACCCTCCACGCAAATCAGCTCAGCCAGGTCACGGGGTCAAGAGAAGGGGAGCCCCAGTGAGGGCCTCACCAAGAGCCGAGAGCTCAACTGTGGCAACACCTCCGATTCAGGGAACTCCTTCACCACCTCCTCACCCCAGAACAAGGGAGCCACTTTGGAGAATCTCTCCCCCACCAGCAGGGGCAGAGAGTCAAGGTCAGTGCACCTGGGCTGGAGGAGGGGTGGGGGGAGGGGTTTCTGCCTTAGCTCTACCATCTCAGTCTCTCACCTTAGCCCTGTACCCATGCACTTCCCACCCATAACCCAGGAGGCTTTGATTTGCAAGAGAGAGAAAACTCAAACTGACATAATTTGGGCGGAGCGGGGGCGGGGGGAGGGGGTGGGAATCCAAAGATACCAGCTTCAGGTACAGCTGGATCCAGGGACTCAAAAATACATCATTGAGAATCTACCTTCCCCATTACATCTCTCATCTCTGCTTCCCTCTCTATTGGCTTCATTCTCAAGCAGACCCTCCCAAAGCATGGCACATACGCCAACAGCATTCACATATGCTAACCATTCTATCTGTTTAGCCAGCCAATGGAAGGAGAATGCTCTTTCCCAAAAATTTCACCAAAATACCAGGGCAGATTCTCATTGTTTCTGCTTGGCCCATCTTGGGTCATTTGCCCACCCTTAGACCAGTCACTCTGGCCCAGGAGATGCTGTGCTCTTGGCAAGAATATGTCACATGCTACCATCAGGGTTAGTGAGTAGTCTTCCACATACACAAAAGTTGGGGGAGGTCCAGTTGTCTGAAGGAAACGTCAGGGTACTGATATCAGGAAGGATGGAAATGGGCAGGAAAAAACAAATATCAGTTTTACCAGTAATCTCAGGAGAAGGTCTAACATTAAATTCATTTAAAGTTGCAGTCATGTTAAAACATTTAAATGTACTGAAACCTTGTGTCAACACAAAAACCTGCTCCTGGTTGTTTGTAGCAGCTTTATTCATAATTGCCCAAACTTGGAAACACCTAAGACATTCTTCAGTAGGTGAATAAACTGTAGTACATCCAGACAAGGGAATATTATTCAGCACTAAAAAGAAATGAGCTATCAAGCCATGAAGAGACGTGGAGGAAATTTAAATGAGTGAAAGAAACCAGTCTGAAGGCTACCTATGGTAAAATTCCAACTCTATGACATTCTGGAAAAGGCAAAACTAAGGAGACAGTAAGCAGATCAGTGGGTAGAGAGATGTAGAGAGGGAAGGGGTTAGAGAGGGATGAACAGGTGGAGCACAGATCCATAGTTTACATTAATCAAAACCCATTGGGTTCACAAGAGTGAACGCTAATGGAAACCGTGGACTCCAGGGTGATGACATGTCAGTGGAGGTTCACTGGTGGTAACAAATGTATCGCTCTTATGTGAGATGTGGAGAGTACAGAGAGTTCCCATACAGTGTGTACATGTGTGAGTGTGTGTATCTTCACACCTTGCTAGATGCAGTTTTCCTGCAGAGAATCTTGCATGCAGCGGCTTATGAGCCAGGTGTAAACTCTACTTCATTACCCCCTTACCCTCTCATTCAAGAAATCACAGCAAAATGCTAATCACTGAGGATAATGTCACAATTACAGCTAGTAGAAATCGCTGATCATTGACTCTCTATCATTCATTCAGCTACTTATCCGTCTCCTGGTTATCAGGCACCTCCTAGAAGCCAGCCACTCAGCTTGGTGCTGGAGAAAGGAAAATGGCACGGTCCTTTTCCTCAGGAGCATATAATGAGGCAGATGCAGGAGGGGTGGAAGAGATTTGCTGGTTACATTCTCATGCTAACAGTGGGGTCTTCTTTCTCCTGGGGGTGGGAGTCTGCTTTTGCTCAAAGTGGCCAAGATGTCAGAATGATAAGCAAAGCCTTAGCAGTGAAGCAGTTAATGGTTTCTTCAAGGACAGAGCGCCCTTTGTCCCCAACACATAGCCCACTTCAGTTCTGGACAAACAGCTTGGCATCTCCACGGAGCCTCTGGTTTGCCTGCCCTGGGACATCCCTGGCCTCAGTTCACACCCAAGCCTGCCAGGGAGCCAGGGCTGGGTCAGAACAAATGTCAGTATCTCCGAGAACAGGCAGTGGAATTCCCAGATGAGATAGGGAGGACAGGTGTCTACTTACATACTGCAGGGCAAAAAAAAAAAGAACCAGAATAGTAATAGTAATAACAACTGATAATAATAATGACTGCTAATATGTGTCGAGCCCTGATTATACGCTAGGTGCCAAGCCAAGTGCTTGCCGTGGATCATCTTCCTTCACTCCTCATAGAACCTTTATGGGATAAGTATTATCAGAGATCTTTTTTAGCTGCTGGGGAAACTGAGACTCAGAGTAGTTAAGAAACTTAGGATCATAAGGGCCAGCACCAGGATTCACACACAGATCTGTCATAGCACTGAAGCTAAAGCCTGAGTGGCGTCTAGCAGTTTCCTGCTTCATTTGATCTCTATGGACAGCCAAATTAAATCATTTAGACCCAGCCTTTCATTTTGAAATATAAATGATCTCTAAATTCATGGCTGTTTATGTCATGTCAGCAATGAGCAGAGAGCTGAGAGGAAGAGACATCATCAGCTCTAAATTTAGGGAACCTTCAACAGTGAAGATAGGGGACTGGTGGGGTGACGGGCATAGGCTTTGAAGCTGGACAGATCAGGGTTTGAGACTCTGGGTGGCCTTGAGGAAGTAACTAACCGTTCTGAGTCTTCCCTGTAAATCGGGGAGAATAGTGCCAGTTTCCTAGGGTTGTTGGGAGGACCATACAAGATGATGCTGGTGGAGCACCCAGGATACTAAGAGGCTCAAGTGTTTATTTCACAACTATTTATTCATGACCTACGACAGATGTATCAGGCTCTGTCCGAGGTGCTGGGATACAGTTTCCAGAGACATGAGTCCTCTCCCCAAGGAGTTCAATGCTCGGGGAGGAAGAGACCATTGTAAGACCAAGTGAGTCCTTCTAGGGACAGGGGGTGCATAGAGGCCGGGGGCCGTGGTAACACATTGAGGGTCACCCAACTAGACTCAGGGAGATGTCAAAAAAGGCCTCCCAGAAAAGGTGAAGTCAAACTAAAGCCTGAACCATGAGTAGTTATTGTCAGGTGAGGAGGGGAGGGAAGAGGGTTCCAGGCAGTGGGCATGTTCTAAGGCCTGGAGACAGGGAAGGAACAGGGATATTACAAGAGGAACAAGTAGTCCATTATGGCTGGAGTCAAGAGAGGAAAGTGCCAAGAGCTGAGATTGGAGGGGTGCGCAGGGGCCGGATCATGATGAGCATGGAAACCATATATTAACAGGATTGGAACTTGACTCCTGGCCCAAACAAATGAACATGCCCTTACTGAGAACCCAACAGGAGCTTCACATGGCTCCAGGCAGGGTGGGAACACAGAAGACAGGACCCTGTCATTGGGTGATTTTGAACAAGCCTTCACTCTTCTTTGGGTCTCAATTCCCCCATCTGCAAAATGAGCTACATCAAAGTTTCCCAAATTTAAACCACCTATATGGCCCTTTGTTGATTTTCACCATATCCCTGTACTACTGGTACTTTTACTTTAATAAACTCACTTTTTTATATAAGGAAACTTACACCGCTATCTTACCTAGAAATTTTATAGCACTCGTCCTAAATAGAAAGCACCTGCAAAATACATGATTTATATATGAAAATACATAAAGACGGTGTATTTAATTCTAGTTAGCAACAGTTGCCTGCCCAAGGCACCAGATCTGGGAGACTGCAGTGTTGAACCCACTAGTACCCAACCCGGAGTTTCTCATTAATGTAATCAGAAGGACTGGAAAAGACTCAAAAGGGAATAAATCTCTATGTGATTGGTGTTATTTACCATTATGCCCATGCCCACTGACCTAAAATGCTCTGAAGTGCCCCCTGTGGAATGTGTCCCCCTCTGTCCCTATTCCTCTGACATCTGTGGCCTGGAAAGTTTCCGCGAGGCAGTAAGATGGGAATAAGTGGAAAGGGGTTTCTGAGAGTACCACAGCCTAGGCGCAGGTAGGGAGAGGAGTATCAGCTCCAGATGCCTGCAGACCAGCGGGCAGGCCATTGCTAACAGGCGTTCTCCCCACATCTGCAGAGGATTTCGGTCGCCATGTCTGGAATGTGCAGAAGTGAAGAAGTCCAGTTTGGTCCCATCCACAGCCCGGAGCTCCCCCATGAGAGGGTGCTCCCGCAGCCCCTCCTATGCCAGCACCCGTTCTTCCAGCCACTCCTCCCGATCCCCAAACCCCAGGGCCTCCCCCAGGTACACCCGAAGCCGATCCACCTCCTCTGGAAAAAGGTGAGTGCCACTTTGACCTCTGTTCTGTAGCGCTTTCCTCCTTAGGGAGCTAGTTATGGTAACCGGAGATGGCCTTTGGCCCTCGGCGGAGAAGGAGTCAGACAGACTTGAGTTTTGAATGCCCACTATATCCATTCCTAGCTGGTGGCCCTGGGCCTCAAATAACCTCTCCGAGCCTCAGTTTCCTTATCTGCAAAGTGAAAACATTCACCTCTCTGTGCCTCGGTTTTCCCATCTGTGGAATGGGATTGATAATAGTACCTAATGCTAGGATGTGTTGAGGATTCAATGAGAGAATGCACACAAAGCATTAGTTCAATGTCTGACACGTAATAAAATACACAACAATCATAGCTAACATTTCCTGTGTGCTGCCTATGTGAGGTATGTGATTGACCCTAATTTACTCATTTAATTTACAACTCTATAGGGTAAGTACGATTATTTATCCCCATTTTATAGATGAGAAAACAGAGGCCCAGAGAAGTGAAATCACCTGTTCAAGGTCATACAGCTAATAAGTGGCCTTAAATGGTAAGAATTCAAGAAGAAGTTGTCAATATTATTATTAATCGGCCAGAAGAGAGGGAATTTCATTCTCAGGAAAGGGCCAGATTCCTCAGCCTGGCGTCCAGAAAGAAGAAGGTCTCCCTCAGGGGACCAGCTGAATAAAGCCCTACACATCCGGGACGACCCCGTCGAAGCCCAGCAGGCCCCTCGGGGACTGTTTGCTCTCCCGCAGGTCCTACTCGCGCTCTTCCAGCTATTCCTCCAAGTCCGGCAAGAGGAGCCCACCCAGCAGAAGCTCCCGATCGCGCCGCAGCCCCAGCTACTCCCGTTACAGCCCCAACAGGTACAGGCCCCGCCCCCAAGCACAGGCCCCGCCTCCCCGGCCTCCTCCCCCACCCACCTCTCTGGGGAGCTTCACCGAAGCCCCGCCCCTGCTCCCCCCTCGTCTAGCATTGCAGGAGTAGGGATGCGGAGACGACCCAGCATCCTTGTAGTTTTCTTCGTCTCCGCTGGAGTGGATATGTTTGGGCCCCCAAACATATCCTTGAGTCCTAACGTACCCCCGTAATATACAGCCAGCCACACCCCAGAACTCACATCCCGGCCCTCAACCTCTTCACACACCTAATACTACCCTTCATCCCCATATTCAGAGCCCCCGGTTCTTACGCATGCACCAGGGCCCTCTTGACGTCCACATTCTCACCCCCGCAGCACCCGCGCCCCTGTAATGCCCACCCTCGAAGGCTGAGCACCCGGGCACACGCCCGGCCTCCCCCCACAGTACTGAACCACAGCCCTGTCCTTTTCCCTCCCGCATTCCCTGAGGCCCCGGGAGAAACCATCCCCTGCCCCAGCAGGGTGCAGGGCGCAGGTGAGAGGATGTGAGTGCCCCTGGCTCATGCGGATCTCCCAGCTCCCCAGTAACCCCCGCATCCCTTCAGGGAGCGGGACCCCAAGTACAATGAGAAGGACTCCCAGCAGCGGGAGCGCGAGCGAGCGCGTCGGAGACGGCGGTCCTACTCGCCCATGCGGAAGCGCCGGAGAGACTCCCCGAGCCACCTGGAGGCGCGGAGGATAACCAGGTAAGGCCAGGAGGGCCGGGGGTGCCCACCTTCACCCTCACTCTCACTCCTCCCACCCGCTAGGGCCCCGGGTTCTCCCCGTGCCCCCTTGGAGCTGGATTTCAGGATTGTGGGAGCTCAGACACACTTTGCGGGCTCTGCTGGGAGGGGGCAGGGCCTCCGGGGCGGGGCTAGGATGGGTGCCTGGAACAGGGGTGGGATCAGCCTGAGGAATCCGGGGGGGTGGCCCAAGGGGTGTGGCCGGGGTCTGCGGAGGGGGCTGGGAGGTCGCGTCGAGGAAACGCGGGCCAAAGCAGTAGGGCAGGGCCTTTGCCTGGGGGGTGGAGCCGGCCAGTGGAGACAGATCACGCTCAGACGCACAAACCAGGCTTTAATAGGCCCTGATCACACCCTGCACCAAGTGTGGAGAGGGCAAGAAGGATCATTTAGGTGCCAAAGGGACTTAGAGGGAGCCCTGGTGGGTGAGGGGGAGAGGTGGGTGAGGGGCTCTGGAGTGGAATCCCGGCTGTGGCACTTTTCAGGTAAGCTGGGAGAGTCTCTTCACCCCCAGAGAAGGAGTCAGAGAGACCTCACCCGAGGTCTTCAGTCCTCACCCATGAAGGATGGAAGGAAATAACTCCCAGGAATATCATGAGGATGAAATGCAAGGGGGCAAAGAGATGGGAACCCACTTTGTAAACTGAAATGCAGAACACTAGAACCCTCAGTGTGCCGTTGTTTCGGATTGAATGGTCAGACTAGGTGGATAAGGTTTCCAGTAACAGCTAAGGTCTTAGATGAGAAAAGCCCTAGAAAAGAAGCCTGAGGTCTGAGTGGACACGTATTTCTTAGGCCTTGAAAGCAGTAAGAATGGCTGAGTCTTGCCCTAAAATTGGCTGCTGACAATCAGTTGGGCTCTTCCTCCTGGCCCTCCAAGGGTCAGCCACTCCATCCAGAGACTCACGGGACTGGGGCTGGGGTGTCCTCCTGGCTGCCTAGTGCCTCCTCCCTAGAGATGACCTGGAGGAGGAAAAAGCACTTGTGCCCCAAACAATAAGATGGGGATAAAGCATCACCTTCTCAGATATCCCACAGAACACCCTGGTACACAGGAAGTCCTACACCCACCGCGTTGACCAGAGGTGTCCTTGAGGTTGACTTGGAGGACGGCTGAGCTAAACAAAGTGGCATTTCTAAAAGGCCCTCTTGTTTCCTTAGTCAACCTCAAATAGTCCATCTTGATGAACCCATTCAGTGTTTCCCAAACTTCAGTCACCCAGAGCATCTGAGCACTTTTGACTTGTCTGTTTAGTAAGTGTACTGTAGCTTACTTAATTTTCTTTAAATAGATACGCTCTTTCTTAGAGGTCCATACATTTAATTCAAAAGGAATACACCACAGTATGCTATAGTAAATGGACAACCAGCCTCTCTTACCGTAAATAGAAGGTTCTAGTAAAAGTAAAAGCACAACAAAACTGCAATTAAAGCCTAGGTGTAGATCCTATTGCCAGTTGGAGGATCCGAGCCCCAGGCTTGCTTTATTAAAAAGTGAGATCGGTGACTTCTCAAGACCCCAGCACTAGGCTGAGACCATCCCCTGGATGTTCTCGGGACAGCACGAGGAGCGTAGGCGGAGGGCCTCCCAGGGGCCTGGGAGGTGGAAGTTACTGCTCTGCCCCGCCCTCCGCCCCCCGCCGGCAGGCGCCCCCGGGGCCGGGGTGGGCGGAGTCTGGTCCTCAAGCGCGCTCCGTCTGGTCTCCGCAGTGCCCGGAAACGCCCCATCCCCTACTACCGGCCCAGCCCCTCCTCATCCGGCAGCCTCAGCAGCGCCTCCTCCTGGTACAGCAGCAGCAGCCGCTCGGCCAGCCGCAGCTCTTCCCGCAGCCGCAGCTATTCCCGCAGCCGCAGCCGCAGCCGCAGCCGCAGCCACAGCCGCAGCCGCAGCCGGACCCGCGCAAGCAGCGGCTCCAGCTCGCGCAGCCCCAGCCTGGGCTCCCGGAGCCGGAGCCGGAGCCGGAGCCGGAGCTACAGCTCAGCAGACAGCTACTCCAGCACGAGGCGCTAAGCCAGAGCCCTCCCTTGAGCCGGCTGCCTGCAGGGGGGCCCCTTTCACTCTGCCAGCCTACCCCCCCTCCTCTGCCCCCCCTGCCTGCTCCTTGGGGACGGACCTTGCGGGCTCCTGGACCCTGTCCTTCCTGCTCTCCTGGGGAGGAGGAAAAGAGGGTACGGGGCCTTCAGCCTCTATGTCAAACCGCCAGGAGCCTCCACCAGCACCACGCCGGGGCTCGACTCGGGCCTGGGCGTATGGAGAGAACCACCCTCTGTTGGCACAAAAAACCTCAATGTTCTGTAAGAAGCAACGGGTCCGTGACTCCAACGCTTGGGCCTGGCCAGGAAAACAGAGTTCTGCTCACCCACTGCTCCTAGGATGCATATGGAAGGCTAGCATCACACCTGCCCTCCTTCTCCCCTCATTCGGCCTCCTGAGCGGGTGTGTGAACCCTCGTGGGGTGGGAGGAGACGAAAGGAAACCAAGGGCAGTTAGGCCCGGGAGAGGGGGTCAGGCCTTTCACCGCCCACCCACCCCCGAAACAGGCGGGAGCAAAGGCTAGAAGGCAATCGGAAGGGGGAGAGAAGGGATCTGAGTAGGGATCGTGGAGGTTTCAGTGGGGAGGAAGTGTCAGGAGAGAGGAAATGGGTTCTCTGGTTGTGAGTATAGACGCAAAAGGGCAGGGGTCATTCTGCTGCCCACCCCCCTATTATCTTGGCCTGGTCAGGAAAAGCAGTCTAGTAGGTTCTAGCAATGGAGAGGCCCCCACATGGCTTAGACAGCCTCTTGGCTGTTCACAGGGCCCCTGAACCTCCCTGAGAAAGGACACAGTGGACAGGACAGCTTGGTCCACAGTCCCACAGCCCAGATTTGCCTCAGCTCCCACTAGCTGGCACCAGCTTAATTCCACGAGACCATCTGCTGAACGTCCCCCAGTGCCATGGCCAGCTGCCAGTCCCCAGCGCCGGCCAGTCTGGCCTTACCCTCCCGTTGGTGCCTGCCTGCCCCCTCCCCCACCGCCCAGACGGCCACACCCTGGAGCCCACCCAAAACAGCCGAGCATCGGCTCACCCGCCCTCAGCCCCAGCCAACCCCTTTGCCTCTCAGGAATTTGCCAGGATGGGGCACAGCAGCTCAGGTTTTGGGGGGAAAGACCCAAATCCAGAGAGTGGGAGGGGACAGGGGCTTGGATACTCCATAGCCTGGGATTCTTCTGGCTTCTGAGGCTTCTCTATCAGCTCAAGCCCCACCTTCATCTCTGCCCTCCCCCTATCTTCCCTCTGCCCAGGGCTGGGCAGCACGGGTAAGCTGATCTCCAACACACAAATACCACCAGTTGCTTCATCCGCAGCAGGCACTGAGAACAGGGGTGTGAGGGAGAGGATCCTTAAAATAAACCCTTGGGCATCCCCCTCACCAGCTGACTGGCTTTCCGGAGCCTTGTGGGTGAGTTTCAAGTTTGCGGTAGCAAGGGCAGCGGGACAGGGCATGGAGGGAGACAGTGAGGGGGGACAGTTCCTGGCTCTGGATACTGGGGCCAGCTATGGGGAAGCAGGGACCAAACACTATCCTTCCCACCCCAGGGAAAACATTGGCACAAAAAAATCCTTTTTCTTGAAAGCCGTGACCTGTCCCCCCCCACCCCCCATCTTTCCCATTACATCAGCCCGTGGGCCAGAAACTGCCCTGCAACCACCCACAAGTCCTTCCTCCATCAGGAGAGCCGAAAGCGAGGCGCCCCAGACAGCACTGGACGACCTGGCCTTCCCATGATGCCCTCTGGCCCAGCCCTGGGCCCCACCTGCCCAGACTGACAGATGCCGATGCCGTCACCGCAGAAGGCCGGATGGCAGGTGCCTGGGACAGGGGCAGGTGCCCTGGGAGGGCATGTACAGCAACTGTAAATAACCCTCTTCCCTGCCCAGGAACGCAAACTGGGCTCCAGTCTCCCATCATGGAGCCACGGAACCTCATTAGCGGGACAGCAGTGAGCGAGGCCCGAGAGCCTCCCATCAGACTGCCTTCAGACAACTCTAGGGGACCATTTTGCCTGGGGCTCCTAGCAAACCTATTATTTATTTTATTTATTTATGTTTATTTATTTATTTATGTGATGATTTCTCTCTCTCTCTCTCTCTAGTTGCCATTAGCAGTATTCAACTATTTATTTACATGGAGAGGTGTATGTATGTGTGTGTGTGTGTGTGTGTGTGTGTGTTTCGGGGCGGGGGGGGCTTCTAAATTATCTTTGCGCATCTTTTTTCCCTCATGTCTTTGTGGGTGGAATCTGAGAGGTCGGGTGTTGAGTAGGGATGTTGGCTTTGTCCCTGCAGGGGAGACCCACAGAGCTCTAAGTCCAAACATCCTGGAGTTGGCCTGAGAGGGTGGGGGGAGCGCTTCAGACCCAAGGTTCGTCGTTACGTCAGTGAGGTTCAGGCTTGCGCCCCAGCTCCCTGCCCACCAGCTGCACTGAGGCATCAGAAAGCTGAAGAAATGCCACGAGGCTTGTGAGCTAAGGCCCCAAAATGGTACAGTGGAGTCACAGCTCACGTGGGGGTTGGAGTCTAAAGTTAGCATAACCTAACTAAGGCAAAATTTGCAGAGTCCGAGATCTCGGTGTGACTGTCTCTGGCCCACTGAGGAGGCTTTGTGCAGTACTTATTGAAGTAGCCGCCTTGGGTTTGGGCAGCCATGGTGGTTGAAGCAATGTCTGGTTTAGCAGTGGGATTGAACTTCGAGATGACAAGGAGAGAGTATGGCAAGAATTAAGCTGACTGAGGGGAGAGAAGATGCACCTGTGGTCTCTCACCCTTATTCCAGGGCATACGGTAGTGGGCAGAATCCCTCACTAGCTTTTCTGAGCATGCCTGGTTGGTTCCATGTAAATTATACATGCTTCTGCCTCCCCTGTAGCCCATTTCTCCCCATCCCCTGAGGTTTTTCCAGGCTGCTCTCTTCCTTCTGCAGTAGACACACACTGCTTTCCGGAGCAGTGTCCACCATCCTAAGAGAGATACACAGACTCAAAGCAAAAAGCCTTTTACTGTGATCTTTTGCTTTCCATCAGAGGAGAGCACAAAGCTATTTCAGAAATTAGGGAAAGGGGGGGAAAAAGACAAGATGAAAGGAGCAGCCAGGGGTTCCCCTAAGAAGGTCATTTCGGGGCCCATCGAGCCCGGATCTAGACGCCTATACCAGTTCTGCCTCTGACTAACTGCAGGGTCTTCTTGCTGCTTCCCAGAGAGGGCCCCACCCTTTCCAAAGTCACCATTCACTGCCTTGAAATCGACAGCTCCTCTGGGTCCAACTTTGAGTTTGGAGAGATTTCTGCAACATCCCTGGTTGTTTCCCTGGCAATGTGATTTTACCCAGCTCTAACCCCCAGCCAGGGGAAAGTTTGCAAGAAGGCTGCTTAAATGCCTCCTGGGGTGGGGAGTGAGGGAGGGAATCTCTGTCCCTCCCTCTTGCCGGATATGCTTCTCTAATTTCCCTTACATTTCCTTTCTTATGCATCCAAAAATAAAACGCTTGTTGGGGTGCTGGTAACCTTGCTTAACCAGAGCCCCCAGTTCCTGGCATCAGCATTCCTCTGCCTACTTCGCCCACATCACCTTCTGTTTCCAGGGAATGAGACAAATTGCCTGAAACCTGCGTGTGGTATGCACTTATTTTAAAAGCCAGCATTGGGGAGTGTGGCACGTGGCCCAGCAAACATGCAGCCTTCCTGGATGAATGAACCTGGACAGATCGCTCCATTTTTCCAAGCCAAAAATTACCCCTTTGAGAAGTGGCAGAGTTTTTGATATATAATCCAGAATGTTGACCGGAGGCCTGGGAAATTGTCCAAAGACAGGGTGAGTTCACCAGGATTGAGAAGAAAAAGGAAAACAGCCTCAAATCTTTTTAGGAGGTTCTCAATCATTAGAGTAAAACTTAAAGCAATATGTGAATTCCCTTCAGTTAAGAAAAGCTAACTCCCTCAAAGCCCCCATCCAGGAACATTCTAGTTCCTCAAGGTTCGACTGCCTTCCTATCTCTGTTTCTTCCCTTCTTGAAGGAAAGGCAATCTTTCAGAAGCCAAACAACATTTAAGATGTTTGAAAGACACGAGGGTCTTGGTCTCAGAGAGCCCCCATCATCCATGAGCTCAGAACCATCCTCTTTCCCAAAGGCTTTGCTTGAAGAGGGCCAGCATTCGGTGCTCCCAAAGGTTCCCAAGCACTTTTTTTTTAAGTCCCACTCCCATAATTTCTTCCGCTCTATTCTTTTCCACGAATATTCAAAATAGTCACACAAGCATGTGTCTTGCCTTGCTTCACTCTCCAGCTAAATAGAAAAGTTTGATTAAAAAACAAACAGGATTCCTCCAACCGCTCCCTCCTCCGTTAGCCAGCTGCATCCAGCTGAGGAGCTCATGCTAGATCCAGTGTCATCAAGCTATGCTTTATCGCAACCTCTTCCTCCTCACTTCTGCACCAATGACCCAGTGATACGGATAGACTTGGCATCTCCCCTCTGTCTGTGGCTGCTGTTTTGGACTTCTTTTTCTTTATTGAGGGTTTTTTTGGGGGGGTGGTTTTGCATTGTAAATACCATGATGGGGGGCCCCTCATCAGAACATGGCTTATTTAATAATTTATTGCCTATTTATTGAGTGGTATCGGGAGAGGAGAGGGACCACCTCTTTCCCTGAATTGCTATTGGAAATCGGTGATCTCCCAGCTCTGGGTGCGGCCGTCTGCAGCAAAGGGCATGATCACCCAGGTAATGAGTGCTAGAATCACCCAGCAAATTGGAATTGGCAGAAACGGAGTCTTCAGTCATACAAATTAAGCTCAAATGGAACTAAAACACTGGTTATCTCCGGGAAAACCTCATTTTGATGGAAATTAATTGCAGAATAAAATGCCTGTGCACAAACCAACTTCTATTAAAAAGTCACAACTCCTTGAAAGAAAAAAAAGAGAGAGAGAGACAAAATTGTAATTCCTTTTCTCTGGCCAAGAAAAGATATGCCTCATCTTCTAACAAGTTGAGCCAAAGAGACTGGAACAACATTCCTTTGTGATTCTCTGGCCTGTGTGTGTGTGTGTGTCTGGATGAAATGGAGTGGGTCTCGGGCCTCAGTGTTATCATCTGTAAAATGGGGCTTGGCCTAAGTGTTCTTGGCAGGGGAGAGGGCGGGGGTTGCACCTCTGATGCTGTGAGCTCCAAACTGTCAGGTATACGGTCCCTGGTGTCTTCTGCCAACTGTAGGTCGAAGGATGTCTCCTAAGGAAGGAAATAAAAAACCAGGGCATGGACCTCATTTGCAGGGTAAGGTGGTAATAGTTGAGTCCTGCAGTCAAAAATGGGAGGCCTCCAGATGCTGCCACCTGAGTGGTGACTCTTGTAGCCTGGGTCAAAGAAGCCTTCTGTATGAGCTTGACCTTCTCTCCAAGCCCAGCTGTTATCAAAGGAGAGACCAAGAAGGCTTTGCTGTTCTCTGGAGTTCACCACTGTTCATCATGTCAGACCACATTTTTGTACAGTTGTTCGAACAAGCCAGTGACCTAGGTCATGCTGCCATTTGTCGGATGAGAAAACTGAGGCCCGGGAAGGGGGGATCTGGTTTGCCGTAACTCCCTTGAGCTCAGACCCTCCTGGCTCCACGCCCCACTCTCTCTCGGTAGCTCTTTCTCGCCAGGCCCCTGCTGTGAGGACTTCGTGCAGGGTCTTTTCTCTCCCAATTCTCTGCTGCTCCCTCAAGCAATCATTGGCCAAGGACCTAGCAGCATCCACCCTATCAGCCTGGCAGGCTCGGTGCACC